ATGATTGAAGGTTACCTTATGTGGATGATTTGATGAAGATGGATGAAATAGGTTTTGAATAAATATATATTTTGATCACTTTTGACCTTGATTGAGTCGTGATTACTCGTTGTTTGCACGTGGGAGTTCCGATGTGGCTCGAAGGTAATTTTGTCATTTTCAGCCAAAAGCACACATGTCGCCTCCATAATTTTCTTGATTATGTTTTACTCCATAAATGCCCCTACACCTGTTGGGATACTCCCAGAAAAGGGCAACAGGTGTAGAGATCTCCAACTTTGATGCAGATTCTCACTTAGACTTGGAATTAGATTCTTCTAGGAAAGGGAAATAAATTGCCTCCAAAGCCTATTTAAGCCTACCTTAAGTAGGGGATTAAATCAACTTCAGAGGGCAATTATTTATTCCTACAAGAAAGAGAGAAAATTAAAGGATATTTGTTCCCCCTCCTCTAGCACTCTTCTTTGCTTGCCCATGCAAAGAACCATTTTCTGTTAATTTCTTTGTCTTCTCTGCACTGCACCGATGTAAGAAAAACTTAATTCTCCTTGTCTTCTTCTTAGGTGGTGCTGCCATGGGGTAGCCATTGAGGTGGTGTCGCGCGTCGGTTAGCAGGGGCTAGGAGTCGACTTGGCATGGGCCAAGGAGGTGGTATGGTAGGCGCCATTACTTGTGCTGTTCTGTTTGACTGAAGCCAATGACTGGTTTGGCATAGGCCAAGGAAGTGCATGGCATAGGCCACGGTTTGGGTGGTCACATTTGGGATACTTGCCAAAAATGATGAAATTGCTTGAATTTGATTTCTCAACTGCCGTAGATAGAGCAACCAAGGATAGAGATGCCAAGATCGGAGTTGATGAACATGAAGTGTCGAATGAGTGAACCATTGAGTGTTAAGTGGCTGCTGCCCCTTAACCATTTACTGCTTAACTGGTCAAGTATTCTATCTTTTGAGTTGTGTGGCCTTCTCGCACTGAAGAGCTTACCCAAATGGGTGTTAGGGAATTAGTTTACCCCTTCACACTGGAGAGCTTACCCATATAGGTGTCAAGAAATTGGTTTAACCTCTCACACTGGATAGCAGACCTATATGGGTGTCAGAGAATTGGTTTACCCTCTCGCACTGGAGAGCAGACTCGGATCGATGTCGAGGAATTGGTTTACCCTCTCGCATTGGATAGCAATTAGGTTAACCTCTTGCATTGGAGAGCAGACCCATATGGGTGTCAAGGAATTGGTTTACCCTCTCACATTGGAGAACAATTAGTTTATCCTCTCGCACTGGAAGGCAGACCCAGATGGGTGTCGGGGGATTGGTTTACCCTTTTCTACTAGAGAACAATTAGTTTACCCTTTCGCAATGGAGAATAGACCCAGATGGGTGTCGAGGGATTGGTTTAACCTCTCGCACTAGAAAGCAATTAGTTTATCCTCTCGTACTGGAGAGCTTACCCAGATGGGTGTTGAGGGAATTGGTTTACCCTCTCGCACTGGAGAGCATGGAAGTCGTTGTCATGAGTGTAGATAAAGAAAGCAGGACTGCTGGACAACTGAAATAATCCTCAGCCTGCGAGGTCTTGTTTGACGATCTTTTTAAGACTTCGAACTGCTTGTGGAACCCGTGTAAGGGTGTAAGTAGGAAGCACATCGAGCTGCTCTTAGACTTTCTTCAAGTATTGCGCCATTGTAGATGTTTCGTGATGTGCCATTTTAAGGCTTGGTTGGTGATTTGCTGAAAATATGAATGGATTGCAAGTTTCTTCATAGCTAAGTTTTTTGTTAACAGGGGCTGCTAATAAAGCCTTGTCTTTTGCTCTGTCGTTGAATGCTTTGAAGTTTGGAGTGCCATGGGCTTGGTCGGTGCCATTAGGAGCCACATGGCGAGACCGGCAGGGATAGAAGTCGTGGTACAAGATCGGCACGATTAAGAGCCATGGTGATAAATCAAGGGCTGCTGGGAGCCGTGGAGTAAGTACGTAGGGTTGTGAGTGCAAAGTTAGGCTTGGCTTGGGCCAGGTTATGCACAGCAATTGGACCACTAGGTTCGTGATGCTCGGCTACTGGTGATGTGCTGCTTTATTATTGAATCGTCCTGAGTGTTGAGAACAAGGCCTACCTTCAGTTCTTGGTAGTTAAGCTGGTGTGGTCTGCTACGTTTGTCGGAACAGAAGTAATCTTTGTATTCGCCAATGTGTGTGGGATGGTTCCGTCTGCTCGATCTTATCAATGAAATGTGACCTGTTTCTGTTGGTCATGTCTCGTCGGAGCATTTTGTCAGTAGCTTTATTGTGTTGGAAATCACACAATCGCTCGATTATGAGCCTCTTTACCTCTTCCTAAATTTGCCTTTGCCGGTATATCGGAGCTCTCTACTACCCCCAGTCGTGACCTACTGCTCTTCCATGTGTTCGGCTAATCTATGCCACAGCTGCGGTACACGTGATACGTTCCTAGCAAGCAAACGAATTTCTTACAGGCTGCCAGTTGAACGTGAGCCGAATTATGTGACTGTTTCTCTGCCATTCGTGTTGCCTACTCCGAATGAACACTTCTCCAAAAAGGTTGCTCCTGTTGATTATCAGAGTATGGCCCCAACCGTGAGTGCATGCCCGTCTGTGGGCCTAATTGAGAGTGCACGTTTCTCCGCGCACTAATACGAGTGTATACGCTATCTCGAGGGCCCAGTCGGGAGTGTACATTGTCGAAACGCTTGGTTTGTAGCTGGTCGAGTGGCTGTCCTGTTGGAGAGGTTCCTCATATGCCCTTATCCTACTTCGGGACACCTCATTAGGGGCACGTTATATCTCGGTTAGGTGCACAAGCTGATTCATGAAGGTCTCTGCTATGCAAGGGTGCTTGTCAACTCTATGACTTATCGAGACAAGTGTTACTGTCCATTTAGGTTGGAAGAGCTTGGACGAAATGCGTCTCTTTAGGTAGTGGAACTATGGTAGACTCTAGGCACGAGATTTGAGTTGGGAAATGTCAAATCCGGGGATATATGGGGTGAAAATGCCTCTAGTTCAATCGTCGGCCCATAAATCTAGAGTCAAGATGATTAAACTGGCCGTGGATCGATTTGGGCAGCTTAAAAGGCCATGGGAGTGGGTTGGGCCATGACGATGGGCTGCTTCACTTGCGGCATGCTTGTGTGTTAGGCCTGGGCTCAGCTAAGATGCGCGCTGGGCTCGCACCGAGTCAGCTTACCTTGGGCTTGGGCCCATGTGGTCTGAAACAGCATGACTTGGGCACTCCGATCTTGGGCTCGACCTTGGAGTGAACTGGGCTCGCGATGGCCTTGGGCCCACGAGGTCTGGACCATTGCTCTTGTTACGGTTGCATGATCCTGCGTTTACTCACCATGGGCCAAGCTGGGTTCCTTTGTGGTGAGGGCCTGCATGCTTTGGGCCGTGCGTTAAGCTTGGGCTCGTGGTGCTAGGGCAGCAGCTTGGGCTGCTTTTGGTGCCTAGGCTTGTTACCCATCATGGGCTAAGGACTTGCCAAAGGTTGCCACAGTGGTGGTGCCTCGTGGTGGTGCCCCATGGTGCTGCCACTCCACTGTTGTTGTGTTAAGTCTCGTAGATCGCCGTGGTCCTAACTCTTGAACGTTGGAATTTTCGTTCGTCATGATTTCCAAATCTCTTGCCATTGTACTTTTATTTTATGTTTTATCAAAGAATTTTTACAAATAAAAATTCCAAGAATAAGAACGTATGAAAAATCTACGAATAGACAAAAAATTAGCAACCTTGAGTCTTCTACAAGCGTGTAAATCAAGACTCTCAATGAAAGCACCAATTTGGGGATGCAAATTTCCGCCTTCTTCTTCTTGGATGAAAATGCACCTGCAAAATAATTAACATCTTAGGTTAAGGCCAAGAGCCTCACTCGCCTATGATGAATTTGGGGGGGGGGGGGAGGGGGCTTTGGTCGAAGAACCTTCGATGCCAAAGTTAGAATTTGAGAGATAATGTGTTTAGAGAAATTTGGAGAATTTGACTTAAGATTTTAGGAGAAATGTGAGCTATTTATATGGGTGTGGCCGACCCTTATTTGGAGAAAAAGGGTCTGGCCACTTTTGGTGGTTTTTGGGTGTAATTGCAAGATATTCTGTCAAAATAATATCTTGCAATCAATTAGAAAATTAATTAATTTAGGTAATTAATCCTAATTTGAATAAATAATTGAGGGTTACCTTGTGGGGAGGATTTAATGAGAATGGATGAAATAGGTTTTGAATAAATATCTATTTTGATCACTTTTGACCTTAATTGAGTCGTGATTGCCAGCGGCTTGCACGTGGGAGTTTCGATGTGACTCGAGGGTAATTTTATCATTTTCACCCAAAAGTACACGTGTCGTCTCCATAATTTTCTTGATTATTTTTTACTCTACAACAATATCGATGTCTTTAGACCTAGTTTGGGAGTGAGGTGCTTAAAAAAACAAAGCACCCATGAAAAAAAGCTATGAGGGTTTTAGGTGTTTGGTAAACTGAAAAAAATGACTTATTTTGGAAGCTGCTGTGAGAATAAGCTGAAATCAAAGGAAAAAGCTAAAGCTGCTATTTGCAGCTTTGGAAAACTGGCTTTTTTTTCAAAGCACACGGAGCTACAGTGCTTCTTTAATGAAAAGACCCACTATTAGACTGCTTTTTTTTTCCAAAAGCACTTTTACAAAAAAGTTTATCAAACACTGTGCTGATTTATTTCACAGCCGCTTATTCTCACAGCACAGCCGCTTATTCTCACAACAGCTTTTTTTCAAAGCATAGCAATACCAAACTAGCCCTTAGAGTGGGGGCGGACCCAGCGATCTAAAAATCCAACACTTTAGTCACCGTCACCGCCATGATAGTGGCTCTTGAGTTTTTCTTCCATGCAGTTGTAAGTCAAACATCCTTTGCATATGCTCCATTGTTTTTGATCAAACAGCTAAAGTTAAAATACCCCTCACAAGCCCTACTTGTTGCAGAATTTTTTAAGCCGGGGAGCTGTAAGATGCCCTTCCCCTTTCACGTTAGAAAGAGAAGCATTGGAATTGAAATATACGCTGCCGATTCGCCATGCTTAATTCTACACTCCACATTCCCTCTCCATCCTTCCCAACTTGCCCTCTTAATTCTAAACTCACTAAATTTTCGCACCTTGCACTCCTCCGCCGGAAATCCATTATTTATACCAGAACTAGACTCCTCTGTACACCCTCCCAATCTTCTTCTTCAACGGCAATGGAAGCCCCTCCCCAAGGTTATAGAAGGAATGTTGCCATCTGCCTCGTCAATGATTCTAAGGTCACTCCCCATCTCCCCTTATATTTTTCTACGTGTTTGTACATGCAACTTACTCAACTTGTTTGTATATGTTTGTTATCTCTACAGATTTTTGCTGCTTCGAGGTTAGATATTCCCAGTGCGTGGCAAATGCCTCAGGTAAACTTGATCACAGTTTTGGTTGAATGTTTAGGGTTTTGGTGATTTAATTGCTTTTAAATTTTACTTTTATGTGTTACTATATGATTCTAGGTGAACAATGCAATAAATCAGGAAGATCAATTCGTATGCATACAACAAACATATAAATTTTGTTTAATCCTTTATCTTTTCATGATCGATTCCTTAATTGGTTTTACTTGTATACATTTGTATAAGTTTTGCCGAGTTTCCATCAAATGTGCGCACACAATTACACACGCTGCACATGCACATATAATTTGAGCTATTTTGAGAATGTACTTGGAATTTTGAATTTAATTAGATATAATTAGTGCACCCTCTCTTGTATATATTTTCTACAGAGGAAGGACTTTTGAATGACAATAAGTGTTCGCCTGTTCCACATGGTTGTGCTGCTTACCTGATACAGAAAATTTTATACACATGCTGGAAAAGAATGATCTTTAATTTGGAAGAAGATCCAGAAACATCAAATTGACAATTTTTTACACATACGATATCTGTATCCCTTCTAAGGTATCTTTTATGCTATGTGGATAAGGGAATTTAGACTCAGTTGTTAAAAATTCACTACAAGAAGACTAGGAATGAGCTGCTCAAGCACTAAAAGCTACTAATATAACACTACAAACGCACTTCAAAGACAATAAACAAAGGACACGATATCATTTGAAGGTTCTCTCAAATGTATTGCGTCAAGTCATTTTCAAGTACTTCTGTCGATTTTTTTAGTGCATTCCTAACAAATGCAAGGTTAGAGGTGAAGAATCCAAAAGGGAGTGGTGGGGACTGGTAACCATTATAGGTCCAAACAAACATTGTTGAGTTCGGAATTTGTATTCGATATACAAACTAATACAAATATGCACTGCTATGAGACTGTTTTAGACATGAATGAATCTCATATGCAATTATTACAAACTAGAACGTAGGGTGATTAGTGTTTAAGTACAGTTACTAGCTGCAGTCGTTACATGATTCTAATATCTTAGACAACTTTATTTCCTTTATTGTGAGATCTTTTTATTTACCATTTACTGAAATAGTTTTATAAAAAATTGTTTTGGAAGGGGGGGTATTGATGAGGCTAAAGATTCAAGAAGTGCGGCCATCAGGGAAATAAGAGAAGAGACAGGTGTTAAATCAGCAGAAAGTCTTGCAGAGGTACGACACTTGCTTGCTTGTATTTCCCTTCATTGTTTCATTGTTTCAGGACATTTTTAACTGCTTGAAGTAAATTTGTGAGTCTGCATTTCGCTGAAGAATGAGTTGGGGAATGCAGAAGGATAAGCTGATAAATCTGTTTGTCTTTGCTGAAATTTAATTGATTATTTTCATTGGTTATCACTTATAAAGCACCAAATACTCTTCAATTATCTAGCCAAAACCACATTTGATTCTCATTATTTATGCTTGGCCTAAATCGTAATGAACTATATTATTATATAAATAACAAGGAGAATGGTTGTGTTATGTTGGCATTTAGTGGTTCCTTCCTTTCTCTCATCGCAAGTTTTCTGCTTTGGTTACTTGATTAGCAGGGAATCAGTTTAAGTACCAGAAAAAATAGTAATCAGTCTTTTTATATTATCTGTTATGAGCCGACATTCTTTTCTCACTTGCAGAGTACCTTATTGTTTTGTAGATTTTTTTTCCAGGCACCTTATTGGTTAACTTATGATTTCAGATTATAACCTAATAGGCGTCAGTGGGGATCAGATTGGAAGTGCCAAGCACAGAAATGGTTAGTGTCGGTATACAGTGCCTTGCATGTTGGGTAGGCTGCAACCTGTTTCGTCTATCATCTGAGTACAAAGTTCTATTCTAGATTATAACCTAATAGGCATCCCATCACCTTCATTTAACGATCATTACAAGTTTTATCATTTAAACATGCTATCAATATACATAAGTTTTGTATCGCTATGCTCATATTCACATTGACTTATTTACAGAATTGCATGTATGTTGAATTTCACAGGTTTCTTCTTAAGTTCACTGGGAAGGATGACTAAATCAATCTTTTAGGCGATGGAAGTGAAAAACCTGAGTTTGGGGAGTGGTCATGGATGTCAACAGAACAAGTAGTTGATCTTGTACGTTAACCTTGCCATACACATTTGTTTGAATTGCTTTTTACATAGTCATAGTATTTAACATGTATTCTTTCTTCTAAATCGTGCAGGCTGTGGATTTTAAGAAGCCTGTTTATAAGGAAGTTCTTGCAGCGTTCACACCTCATCTTCCATAGCCTTCGGTTCACCGCTGCATCAAGGCTTATTACTAGTGATGATGAATGCTTCATTGGGTGTTGATGGAATAGTGACAAGCGCTTGTAATAGAATGATTTGAGTACTGTTTTTCCTCAAGTATTTATGTTGATCGTTTAATGTTACTGTATGGGCAGGAAAAGAAGAAAAATCGTATTAGTTGCTGCTCGGCATCCCATCTAATAAGAATTAAGTAACATTTTTTAATTTAATTTTACATAGACCTGAAACCAGGAGTTATAGAATGCGTTCTTGAAACTTCATTTTTATCTCATGCTCACAAGATTAGAATGAGGATATCCGAGGTGAATTAGAAATAGCCGAAATTGATGATAAGATGAGAGAGAATCAATTAAGGTGATTTAGACATGTGAAACAAAGACTTGCAGATGCTTCGATTAGAAGATACGATTACAAAACAGAGGCTCAAGGCCAAAATGGGTGTGGAAGACCTAGGAAAACTTTTAAAGAGACTCTAAGAACATACTTGGACTACTTGAATCTAACATAAGAAATAGCACAAAACCGAGTGCAATAGCGTTATAGGATTCATATAGTCGGCCCCACTTAATGGGATAAGGCCATTGTCATTGTTGTTTGTTTATACTAGCAAAATGCGTAGAGGAAGTACCACCACTTCTTGCCTTGATAAAAGTGAGCTTATTTTTCTTATTCAAGCGATATTGTTATTAATTTAATCTAAATTAAGGGAATGAGGATTTGAATTTGCGTGTAAAAGTAGAGCACACTTCTTGGCATCCCATGTAACAAGCAAATTATAAATTTGTAAGTAGTAATCCATACACCGTAGCACCATTCAAATACAGTAAAATCAGTTGCAATAAAAATACTTCACAGACTCCTCATAGCATCCGACTACCTCCGAACGACGCCTTGAAAATGTGCCCTCCTCACCTGTCTACTCAAAATTCTACTGCCAACAGATTCGACAAAGCCATTTGTTAGCCCCATTTCAAGCACAAGAAGCAATATAGACTCGTTGTTCATGCCATCCTACCGATTCACCTTCTGAAGTATATGTTGTACATGTTTTGTAACGATATCTGCAACAATCTCAGGAGAAAACCTTTTGATCATGTCTTCTCTTGCTTTTTTCCCTTTTACCTTGGCTTCCTCGACATTATTCACCACGCGCCTCATTAGAACACGAAGCTTGCTAACCGAAGGTTCTGCCCAGAGATGTCCTCTGAAAGGCCCTTCCATTACTTCACTCATCCTGTCCACCGGCAATGGATAACTATTCTCTGCAGTCAGATATTCCGTAGGCCCAGACCAATTTGTGGCAATCACGGGCAACGACATTGCCATCGCTTCAACGAGGGGCCTTCCCCACCCTTCCCCCCTTGATGGAAGAACAAATGCATCAGCTGCCTTGTACACTCGCGGCAAATCAGTTTGAGCTATGTGAGTGTCCATCACATAAACTGGAGCCCAACCGGTCACTGGCATTTCGATTCCAGATTTCTCCGCAAACTCCACTATCTTATTCCCAAAATCTCTATCAGAGTGATAAGGATTTGTCAAAAGATACAAAGCAACGCCATCTGCTTCACTGAACTCTTCCAAATATGATTTCAACAACACATCCCATCCTTTCCTGTACTCCCACTTAAACACACTCATAAACACAAATTTCTTCTTCGTTTCCAAGTCCTGCGTTGCCTTACCCATAATCAACTTCCCTACAGACGCAAGATTCAACTGCTCATACGCAAGCGGATCAAAGAACTTAACATCAATAGGCTGCACAATTTTCACAACCTTAGAAGGATCAACCCCGCTTTGTACAAAACTCGACACATGAAACTGCGTAGGAACCCAAACATAATCCATCCGATTACAGCGCTTCACATGCTCCGCGTTCACTCTATCGGTTTCAAACATGGTCCGTCCAATGACGGACTTGAACTTTTGGTAAGCAGCTGGTGGGCAAGGCAGTGTTTCGAACAAAGGCGGGTTCCAAGCACCGGGCTCACTGTGACAAATAACCACGGTGTCCTTCATACTACATTGTGTGTTGTAAAGCCCAATTGCTAATTTCCTGACATATTCAGGCAAACCCTCCCAGAATTCCAAGGATTCCTGATCACCGTGTTGCTCGATAGCCATTTGAAAATTCGGGTTTTTCGAGTGTTGGTAAAGGGATAAAATGTAAGACCAAGCTTCTGAACTGTACCCACCACCTGAAAGGAAAGGAGCCATCCATAGAACACAGTTGGGGGGCTTGGGAGTAGGATTTATCGACTGGGTTTGTTGGAGTTTTTTAATTGGATGAAGAAAGCCGAACAGGTTTTGGACAATGGTGGTGGGGTGTGATGAGAATGTGTGCTTTAGGAGTTGGGTTTTGAGGAAGTTTGTTTTGGGGAAATTGAAGGAGATTGTAAGGACGAGAATTAGGATGGATGATAAGTAGAATGCATAGGGTTTCAATTTCAGGGTTCGATTGGCTTGTGGTCGGTTAATGGGTTGTTGGTTTTCGCGCAAATTCATGACGCGGCGGGGGAGAGAGGAGGAACTTGGTGGCCGACTCCGAGAGCCTGTTTATAATCGAAATGGTTTATATATAAATCAAATGTGAAGATCTATCTCTATAAAAAAAAATGAGAAAATTGTAGCAATAGTTCTTCAATTTTAATCCAATTGAAACAATGATCTCTCAATTTTAATCTAATTAGAGCAATGATCTCTTAACTAAAAATCCATGATCATTAGTCCCTCAACTCATCAAAACGTGCAGCCATGATCTTTTTTGTCACATCTGTTAAAACTTCTGTCAAAATGAGTCATATATATTGAGACTGAATTAAGGGGCAAATATGGGAAACTAAATGAGAAATTATATAAATAGTCCCTCAATTTTAACCAAATTAGAGATATGGTCTCTTAACTTTAACTCAATTGAAGCAATGGTCTTCCAACTTTAGCCCGATTGTAGCAATGATTCTTCTAACATTAATCGTTCTGACGGAGTTGACAAAACTGACCATAACTGCACGTTTTGTGGAGTTAACAGACAAATGGTCATGGATTTTTAGTTGAGGTACCATTGCTCCAATAGGGTTAAAGTTGAGGGACCATTGTCACAATTTCCTCATAAAAAACAAATTAAAATTAAAATCGTTTAGCCAATTAATTGTAGTAAAAAGATAAACGATTCATAATGATTTTGCCAAATAATGTTGCCGATGATCTTTAGAGAGTGATATATAATATTAACAATACCGATCATAAGCTCGAAGTGACACACTCCAACCCAAATAACACAAGTTACGAGGTCGTGATGTGCTAGCCAACACTAAATTGACTATGGGCTGGTTTGGTATTGCTGTGCTTTGAAAAAAAGCTGCTGTGAGAATAAGCGGCTGTGCTGTGAGAATAAGCGGCTGTGAAATAAAGCCAGTAGAGTGTTTGGTAAACTTTTTTGTGAAAGTGCTTTTGGAAAAAAAATCAGGATGATAGTGTGTCTTTTCATTAAAGGAGCACTGTAGCTCCGTGTGCTTTGAAAAAACTGGCTTTTTTTAAAAGCAGCAAATAGCAGCTTCAGCTTTTCCTTTGATTTTCAGCTTATTCTCACAGCAACTTCCAAAATAAGCCATTTTTTTTCAGTTTACCAAACACAAAAATGACCCTCAGCTTTTTTTCACAGTGGCTTTTTTTAAAATCACCTCAATCCCAAACGGGGCCTATATGACCCCATCCGAAGCTGATGTCACAAGCCAACTCAATGACGAAACCATCACAAGATAATTATGATGTGTAAGAATTTGAACCAAAAGAAGTTCATTAAATAATAAAATCTAAACCTACTACAAAAATAGTTATCATCCTCCCCACTTGGGGACACAAATTATCTTGGGTTTAACCCTGTTATTAATCACATTACACCAAAACAACTAGAAGTTTCACAAAACAATAAATACAATAGAGTGCAGTGCTATGCATATTCAAAAGTACAATCATGCAACAAATATTACAATTAAGATAAAACTGCAGTAAAGGAGTCATCACCCAAAATCTAAAGGATGAAAGCCTCACTGCCAAGCCCACTCGTCCCCACTGGTATTCTCCTTAATCTTGTTATGTCATGAAGGGGTCGATAAAATAAAACGTGAGTGAATCAGTTTTATCATAGTTATAAAATCATCATTAAACATAAGACCCCTATTTTGAAAACATATATATATATATATATATATATATATATATATATATTGAAAACTATATAATATAATACTACAATAATAGTAAAATCTCATTCATTAATATCAATGAAAAATCATCAAGTCTAAGTTCAGAAATCATACCTTTCATCAATCAAACATGCTAGTGTCCACTAACATAAGTATACCAGAACATATATATATATATATATATTACAGACTAAATAGTAATTATGATGGTGGGATACACACACACACACACACACACACACACATATATATATATATATATATATATATATTACAGACTAAATAGTAATTACGATGGTGGGATACACACACACACACACACACACACACACACACACACATATATATATATATATATATAGTAAAACTAAATAGTAATTACGATGGTGGGATATATGCGCACACACACACACACTAGCATCGACTAGTTAATCTCAATACCAGTAATACTCATCAACCTTAGCGTCCAATAGGACAATATAACCTACAAACAATCTATGGCCAAAAATAACTATACAACTCATCACATGATGACCATGCGGTGAAAATAGATCACGAATGATCTAGAGATATTATTGATATCATCGCAAGTCTCATCTGAGACTAACACAACAATATACATCCACATATTAAGCATTTATGAAAATACGTAAATAGATGTATGTATACGTAAATACATTTGGTTTTTCAAAGGGGTCCACTCACAAGTAAGCAGAGTGTCTCTCACATTTAGGCTCATTGCCTATATCCTTTTGATCCTCAATCAACATGTGAATATCAATATAAGCTAAAATAAGCTTAAATCATCATTTTAATGGAACAAAGTCCAATTCAACCATTTAAGCTTTGAATTTGCACAAACGAAGGGAACCACGTGATCAGGTTAGGTCTCGGGTCTGTCACACGCCGCCATGTTCTGGCCACAGTCCACCACGGTGGTGTCACGCATTGGGAAACATGCGCCGCCATGGGCTGCCATCACCTGCGAACGCGCTGCTGCGGT